TAATTTACAATTGATTAAAGAGTTTGCGGGGTGTTTTTTTCCCCATCTTTTTTTCCCCTCCTCTCCCCCTCTCGTCCTGCCGAAAAAGGGGGAAAATTATCCTAGAAGGTGAAGATGTTCTCAGACAATCATATTAACATATTCCAACAATCGCAATTTGCAAAATAGTAATCACAACTGCCGGGATCTGGGAGGCATTAATCAAAGCTGCAGGTTTAATTCCATTTTAAATATTGATGAAATGTGCTTGGGCAGCCTCACCCTGGCGTGGCAGGGACAGGGGAGCCGCCTCGCGGCATAGGGGAGGTGGAGGGGAGGGTTGGGGAGCAGCTGCTGGGAGGGGAGGCATCTGTCATTCAAATTGGTGACTGAGCGGCCAGGTAGAGAGTGAAAGGGGTAGTGAAGAGGGCTGTTAAGTCCATTGCTGTCAATTTGTAACCATCAGGGAGGGGCCTGAGGACTGGTTCAGCACAATAAACCCAGTTGGTCTGGTTTCAGGGTTACCACTGAAGAGGTTGCAGCTGCACTGATTCGAATAGCCCGGAGACTTCAGAACTGTAATTATCAACCAGGCTGCTCTCGGTGTGGCAAAAGTGGGCTTCACCAGCACTTAACTCCTTGTGTGCCGCCGCTCTCCCCGCCCACCATCCCCCCCACCCCCCGGGGTTGACAGCCAGGTGCGGATTCCCCCGCAGCCTCCCCGGGGAAACTGAGGCCCACCGGCTGCTGAGGGCAGTCCTCAAAGGCCAGAGCGTGCAGGCAGAGAGCCTTTCTCCTGAGGTCACAGACAAAGAACTAGTGGGGGGCGGGGGGGACGGAAGAGGCCGGCTCTGTGGGGCAGCCTCACCTTCTGGCACTGTCGGGCCTACCCTGGGGTGAAAAGTCAGGCTTTGGGGTCTGATGAGCCTTGGCTTAAATTCCACTGGCTGTGGACACGAGGTAAGGCTCGTCCTCTGTAAAGTGGAGGTAATCTTTCGTACCCTACTGGGCTCTCACAAAAAACTCAGATTGACGTTTGTAAATTACAGAGCACACAGTAGGCTGACAATAAGCCTTGTGTCCCTGGGCCGGGGAGTGGTGCTGTCGCAGAAGAGGAAAGGGCTCCTGGCAGGCGGCTCTGGTTCGGAGGGTAGGATATCTCAGGCCCTCTGCGTTTCAGCTCTCAAGGAGTGTCTTTTATGTCTAGCTTCTGCCATTTGGCACCCAAGGAGGATGAGTAATTCCATACTCCCACCTCTCGGGAGGGAGGCACTGAGCTAGGCAGGGGGTGAGGGTAGGAATCAAGAGACTCTGGTGCTGCGCCCTGAGGACAGCTGCTCGAGGGCAGGGGTTTGGGCCGGGGCTCTTTATCCCCAGGAAGAGGGAAGGCAGGAACGAGGGAAGGACCGCAGGCAGGCATTGCGGCGCTGGGGAAAAAAACATGGGCTTCGCTGGGAGTCCTGGGGAATGAAGTATGTGCACGGCTCCGTAACCCTCCTCCTGGACTATAATCCCAGAGAAATTCTCCCACGTATCCACGAAGGGATGGACCCAAGAACGTTTGTCCCAGCGTCATTCCCGGTCACCGGAGGTGGAGGCAACCTGCGTGCCCACCCCTGGGAGGATGGGTAGTACAACATGACGGAAGCCCACCATGGAATATTAGGCAGCAGTCAGGAGCAAAGAACAAGATGTCCGCGTCGCAACAAGAACAGATCTTGAAAATGTAGTGTTGAGTGAAAAAAGTGAGGCACAATGAAATTCACAGCACAATGCCATCTATGTAAATTGAAACCACATTCGCACACAAAACAACAGTACATATTTTACAGAGCTACGTGCATTTTTAGGGGTATATATCCCGCCATTGGAGCGGGTCTCTGTCGTGGTGGGGGGAGGGGCTGGGTGTGGCTTTGGAGGATAAAGGGGAAAAATGAAAATAGAGTCAGCCCTCAGAGGGGCCTGGCACAGAGAGTGTGCTGTGGACTAAGGGATGTGTCCCACTCAATTCTCTCTGAGGTTTAAAAACAGCACAGGCCTTGTACTCAGACAGCCCCGGGGCTCAAGTTCTGGGCTCTCCCACGTACCAACACTGTGGCTGTGGACTAGCGACTCATCCTCCGAGCCTGTTAGTCCGTCCACAGAAAGGTGGGCTTGCTGCCATCGGGTGGTCATGAGGATTAAGTTAAGGGAGATAAATGCATGTGGGCCTACAGGACCCCCAGATCCTCCTCTCCTCTCCCCACCGAAAGGACCTGGGCAAACAGAGGGTGTCAGCCTCCTGGGAAACCACAGGTTCTCTGAAGCGTCCAGAATGGAAAACCCAGAAAAGAAACGAAGGCCTCGACCGGCTGTCCCGGGGGTGACGTTGGTGGATGTCACACTGGGCACGGGCCCAGCTCAGAGCGGCCCATCCATGTTGTGCCTGGCTCCGTCAGCAAGGTCCACCTCCAACATGCACCCCAGCCCCAAGACCCCGCCTGGGGGCTCCCGGCGCAGGGCATGACCGCCTCTCCCTCCTCCTCTCTTGCAGATGGTGACGAGCACGAGTGGATCATCCGGACATGTCGGAAGGGCTGGGACGAGGCCATGGGTCCTAAGCCCAAGCCGTGAGCGCTAAGCCCCCTCGGTCACAAGCTTCCTTCTGTGCCCCTGGCATTGGCTGGCCCAGGGAGCAGGCTGTAGTTTTAGAACCTGACTTTTGACTCGGGAATAAAAGCTTTCTGCCATCAGTGGCCCTAAGTGTACTTTCCTTAGACTATTTCTTGGAGCGGGACCCTCACTCCACCTGCATCACAATCACCTGGGCAAAATTGTGAACTAGCTCTTCCTGGGCCCCACCCTAGTACCTGCTAATCAGAATCGCTGAGACTGGGGTCTAGCAGTTTGCATTCTCAGGTATTTCTTACGCATATGGAAGTTTGAGAGCCATCACCTTATAATGATAGACAAATGTAATTGAATGAGCAACTCATGTGTGCGGGCAGTGTGGTTATGTTATCTCAGCTCCACATTACAGCCTTGTAAGAAAGGGCTTAGCATTACCTTTTAGAGATGGGAAATCTGAGGTTCAGAGAAACTGAGTGACCTGCCCTAGGTCACACAGCATTTGAATCCGAGTCTTCCTGAAGATAAAGCCCAGCTGTTTTTTGTTTGTTTGTTTGTTTGTTTACTACAAGCTGCCTGCCTTACCAGTCTTGATTTCACAGGGCAGTAGGACAGGATGACTGCCCAGGCTCACAGCTGCTATCTTCCTGTAAGCCCAGAAATGATTACCCAGGACTGCCTCTTCCTCTCGGAAGCTTCCCTATCTGAGCTTCCTACCCTAAGCACGGAATCGGTGGGGTGCCACAGAAAGAATGCAGCTTTGTCATCATACACACCTAGGTGTGAATCCCAGCTCCATCACAGGGTATCATACAACCTTGGGCAAGTCACTTCACTTCTCTGAGCTTCAGTCTCCCCATTTGTAAAATGTATAATGATGCTGAAACCCATAGGGTAGCTATGTGGATTGAATGAAATAATACAATAAAGGAGCTGGTACTTAGCAGGTATTCAATACGCACTTGCTTTAAAAACTAATTCGTTAGCTGTGCATACAGAGTAATTATTCTTCAGAATCACCCCCAGGGATCTCATGTGTCAGCTGAAAACCAGCAGAGGAAGTGGTAACATGTTCCAGGGCTGTACTTGGGCCACAAGCAACCTGGATCACCTGGATCTTTGTGTAGCTTTCCCTCCTTAGAGGCTGCGAACCCTGTAGCCCCCTGCGCCTTGTCCCCTGGCTCACCAAGGGCTGCTCAGGAGAGGGAGTCGGGCCTGGGAGGGCTTTGCCAAGGTCGCAAGGACAGGAAGCTAGCCTTGGATCTAGGGCCCCATGAGCGGCCTGCTGGGGCAGAGCCAGGAGTCAAGGGAGACCTGGGCCCCGCTCAGCTGCGCCGCAGAGGGATGGGGGATCACCTTTCCCCACCAAGGCAACAGTCACTCACCTCAGTAGAATGACAGGACTGATGTCCACTGGGGGTTTCCAAACTGTGTTTTGAAAATAAATAAAGTATATTCATGTAAAGGAACACACACACACAAACTTCCTTTTCAAAGATACACATATATCTAAATCTCTAAATATCGAAATGATAAATGGATTGGAAGAGTCGAGGGGGAGGGACAAGGATAGGGTCAAGGATGGAGAATGCAACAACTAACCGGGGGGCCCTGCAGGGGCGATGGCCACGTACACCCTGAGCTGAGGCTTCGGAGTGACTCTGTGTGGGGCCACGGGGTGGGGCTGGGGCGCTGGGGAAGCCTCTGCGCCAGGCAGAGCCATTCCACTCCCTTCCTGGTGGGCTCTGGTTTGCACAAAAGGTTCTGCTGCTACAAGAACATCTGGCGGCCGGCAGAAGGATGCGCTCTCTCACTCCCCAGATTACAGGGTGGCTCTGGAACCCGATGAGGCCAGTATGAGACCCAGACTCGTGCGGAAGCTGGAGCCCTGTGGCCCTGTCTCCCGTCGCATATTCCCTTTCACTTCGCAGTATCAGATTCTCCCCCATCTCCCACTCAGGCTCCTCTGTGCCTCCCTCCCTGGTCCCCCAGCATCTCCTCCATTGAACTTATTTCCGTGAACTTCTCATCCAAGGGTACAGCTCAAATGCCCCCCTCCGTCTCGACAGCACGTCGGAGGGATCTGTCTGTCTCCAGCATTTGTTGGGCTGAGAGCCCCCCTTGGACCCTTTTGAGGCTGCAGGGGTGGCACGGGGCCCAGCAGAGCGCGGTCAGGAGTGGGACGGAGGACAGCAGCCAGCCTGATTTCCTACACAGCTCAGACTAGAGAAGAAACCCACCACCATGCCTTTACAACGCTCAGTTTCCTAGCTGGGAAACAGAACCAGTCTTCCGGGAAGGGGTTTCACTGTCTAGCAGCCCAGATATTCTGGGGGCCAGGCCTGAGCCTGAGCCCTTAACCAGAGAGCAGGAAAGAAATGGAATTCCATCGTGCTCCGGATGTCAGTGCCAGCACTTCTACTTGCATTAACTTTATTTATTACACAAATAAGACATTTACAAAGCACAACATGAAAGGTATGTAACAAAACAGACATTGGTTTTACAAAAAAGTGCTTACAATTTTCTTCCGTGTGTGTGTTTTCCTCCTTTTGTTTTGTATTTAAATAAATAGTCTTGATGGCCTGTACGTTCCCAGGCTGTTCTAACAGCCTAGTGGAGACGTGTCTGAACCACAGCATGCTACGACCGTGTGATCCACGCAAGGAACAGACCCTGGGGGGAGGCTCAAGGCAGAGTGGGTACTGGGTGACCCTGGGCATGGCTCGGCTGGCCACTCACCACATCAAAGGAAAGATTAGAGCTCCCCAGTCACCAGGAACTGGGCCCAAGCTGCTCCGGTTAACATCAGCTCCAAGGGTAGGGCCAGGCACACTCTATTCACCGGGTGAGTTCTGAACCAAGCTGCACTGATCACATTCTGAGGGGTGTCTTTCCTTTGCCCTGAGTCAGCTGGAACTGTCTTTGAAAGGGAAAAGAAGCAAGTTCCCTTCTTGGGCTGCACCCGGGCCCAGCCCTCCTCCAGGTCCCAGAGTAAGAAGAGCATATCGTTTTTCACGTTAAGTGCCAACTTCAAGCATGTGGATTCCGAACCCTTATCCAGACTCGGCGAGATAGAGAGTGCTGCGATCGATTAGCGATGTCTGCCATGGGTGAAACCGGGGCAGCAGACACCTAGGTACCATGAACTTGCTTTCCCTGTCCTAGCGTCTCCTTCCAAAAGCAACGTATCAGGTTAATCAAAGCAGGAAGGAGGACTTGGGCTGAAACATACTTACTAGCAGCCTCTAGTGGGAAATGCATCAGGACACCCAAGTCATTCTAAAATTACAGGATTAGCCTGGGACAAACGGGGTCCCCTGAAAACATAAATCATGGTCTTGTGTAGCCCAAGCCCTTTTGTTTGGGGTGGAAGAGCTGCAGCGGGTCAGGGTGGATGTGAGCACAGCTGTGTCTGGCCTGTGTTCTCAGGAGTGAGTGGGACTGGCTCTGGGCAGGGTTGGTGGGGAAGCCCAGAAGTGCCAGCTAGAATCCTGGGGTGCTACCACCTAGGCAGCAGGCACCCTCTTTCTACTGAGCCAGGGGCTGAGCCAGGGCCTGCCCCGCCTGGTAGCACCCCAGAAGTACACTCACCTAGGCAGCAGGCACTCTCTTTCTACTCAGAGGTGGGTCCAGAGTGAAAGCTCTGCCCTTTCCCTGGGCTCTGTTCTCCAGCTCCCCCATGAGAGGTCTCCCCAAAGAAGACGTGGCCCAAGCACCCCCATCAGGAGTCAAGTAGCCAACAAGGGTCCCCAATTCTAACTTGTCCAAGCGTTCAGAAATGTCACCACACAGATCAAACACCACCTCTGCTATGTCTCCTGCACATATGCTGGATAACTAGGTGAAAGCAGGGTCCCCGACACACACCCCGAGTTTCCTCTGTCCTCTCCTTAAAATGGCTAGTACTTCTCCCAGTCCAGTGTGCCGCATCCTTCTCCTGGGCCTCCAAACCCATGGGGGTCCTTGCCCCGCCCTCTCCCCCCGGCCCCCGCTTTTCCCCCTGCCTCTTGGTCTGGGCAGGCCTCCATCTGTGCCCTGTTGGGCCTCTCAGGGTTGGTCAGTGTCTCTTCTCTCTCTGAATTAACTTGACATAACCAGACAGATGGAAATGATAAAATTAGAACATAGCTTTCCTTTGGGGACATCCCACAAACACTGTAGAGTTTTCCAAACAAAAGCAACAGAGTGGATAACATTGGGGGTTGTCCGCTATTCAGAATTCAGAGATGGTTCCAAGGAAGTAGTAAATAAAGGCCAATATGGGAGGAAAGAAAACCTGTAAATTGGAAGGCTGTTGGCGTCGTGCGATTCAATTCGGCCTTTTGCTATTGTAATCAGCTTAAGTTGAAGACGACTCCTGTCTAAATGGGAAACACAGGCTGTTGTTTTCACCCTGGCTCCAAATTTCAGGGAGCTCTGCCTTCAGGGAGGAGGGCTCCGCGGTGCTCCTGGCGGGTTCTGGTTCTCGGCAGGAGAGGGGAAGGCCAGGCCCAGGGGCCCAGCTCGTGGTGGGCAGGATGGCGGATGAGGGGTGGAGGCAGAGCGGGTGGATCCCTGGCAGCGGCTCAGACTCCGGATTTCAGCGGCTGAGGGGCAGCTGCCGGGCGCCCATGCTCAGATGCGGAAGTGCCGGCAGCGCTAGTACTGAAAAAGGATGACCTGCAAGAGGAGGGCGTGGGAGGGGGCTGAGCCAGGGCCTGCCCCACCTGGTAGCGCCCCAGAAGTCCTCGAAGGCATGGAGAAGGAGGCGGGCCCAGGGCCCACATCTAGGCTCAAATCCTGGCGCAGACACTTACTTGCTGCGGGGCCCTGGGCAACTCACTCCCCCTCTCTGAGCCTGTTTCCTCATCTATAAAATGGGGATGACAACACCTCTCTCTCAGAATGGGGAGGAGCTGGTGAAATCCAAGAGCAGCAGCAACTGTCTCCTGGGCACTGTACCCGGCACTGGGCACAGTGCACACCTGCATGATTTCACAGGAGCCTCACCTCAGCCCCACGAGGGTGTCCCACCACCATCTCCTCTTTACAGGGGAGGCCGCTGAGGCCGGGGAGGTGAAACTCAGTGAGCCCGCAATCACACAGCCAGGAAGAGATGGACCCAGCACTGCAACCCAGGCCTAGGCTCTAGAACAAGCTCTCTTCATTAGACCCACTGCCTCTTCCTCTCCAGGCCACCCTGACAGTTACCAGCGGTGCCTACCAAGCACCAGGCAACAGGCCAAGCCCTTCATGCAGCCAAGCACCTCGACAGGCAGGTGGCTCAGACACGCCAGGTGCCTGACACACAGTGGGTGTGTTCCCAGGTCTCAAAGAGAAAAGGTGGCTGAGCTGGGGTCCGGTCTGCCTGACTCCAGAGCCCACGTCACACGGCCTCGCCCACTCACCCCACCTTGGGCCGTGCTCCCCTCTGGTCTCTGGGATGTCTGCCTGACTTTGGACTCTTCCGAACAGAAGCTCTCTCAAGAGGGGTGACTCTGAAAGACGCTTCCCCTCCATAAGCCTCAGTCTCTCCATCTGATCGATAACGGCCGGGCCCTGATTTCTAAGAGCCTTCCAAGCTCTGAACCGTGGGATCTGGGCCCATGACCGGGAATAAATGTGGTCCTGGGGCTTCCCTGGTGGCGCAGTGGTTGAGAGTCTGCCTGCCGATGCAGGGGACTTGGGTTCGTGCCCCGGTCTGGGAGGATCCCACGTGCCACGGAGCGGCTGGGCCCGTGAGCCATGGCCGCTGAGCCTGCGCGTCCGGAGCCTGTGCTCCGCAATGGGAGAGGCCACAACAGTGAAAGGCCCGCGTACCAAAAAAAAAAAAAAAAAAAAAATGTGGTCCTGGAAGCTCACAGGCAGGTGTGACCAAATGATGATGTGGTGGAGGCGGAGGGTGCTACCCCAGATGCTCAGAGCACTGTTCTCCCGGCCAAGCCAGTGCTGGTCTTGATGAGTGGGTTCAGGGGGCTGCCCTAGGGGGCCCTGAGTCTCCTCCTCACTAGGCTGGCTCAGGCCCGGAGGGACTTGGGAGAAAGCCCATGCAGTTCTGCACTGACTGGTCATACACACAGCCCGCCAGGCTGGCAAGATGTGGACAGAAAAGGTCCCTGGCCGCTGGCAGGAAGGTCTGACAGTGAGAGGGCGGAAGGTCATGGACGAGGCGGAGACATTTTTCTGCAGAGCCGCTGGACACGAAGTTGGGGATATGGCCCAGCAAGAGAAAAACTCTGGCTCAGCAGCCAAACCCAGGGGCCAGAAAACTTCCATGGCCAAAGCTGCCAGACCCCAGACCGGCTCATCCTTCAGGCTGAACCAGACATAACCACAGGCTTAGCTGAGAAACCAGGAGACGAGGGCTCACCTCCAAGAGCTGAGCCCAGCCCTAATCTGTTGCAAGGCTCCCCTCTCCTCTCCAGATAATGCCCAGGCCCCTTGCTTGAAGGTGCAAGGCCTTCATTATGGGACCCCCTGTCAGCTCCCACCCCACCCAAGGCCTCAGCCGCACTAAACCCCCCACCATCCCTCAAATCCAGGTCCCTCCAAGCCTCCTTGCCTCGGCACGGGCTCCTCGTGTCCCCTGCTTCTTCCCGAGAGCTGGCCACTCCCTCTTCTGAATCCTCGAAGGCCACGTGCATCCCTCACCGCAACTGCCCTGTCAAGCTGGGATGTGGCTGCCTGCCTCCTGCTCTAAGCCACCCACCCACTCCCTGAGGACAGGGACCACGCCAGCTCGCCTCTGCAGTCCCGGTGCCAGGTCTGACAGGACAAACTCTCCCACAGGACGGGGGCAGCTCCGAGGCAGGCAGTCCTAGGATGGAGGCCAGCTTGTACCCACGCTCACTGTGTGACCCTGGGCAAGCTGCTGCTCTGACTGAGACCCAGTTTCTGCAGTTATGAAATGGCATCAACCATAGTCATCCTCCTAGGGAGACAGTGAAGGGCGAGGTCAGAGAGAGCGCTGTGTAAACTGTAAAGTGCGGCACAGAAGGAGGTCACTACTGAACCAGGCGGACTTCAGAGTCTGACAGACTTGCTGCATCCCCGGACAAACTGTGTCACCTCTCTGAGCCTCTGTTTCCTCATCTTTACCATGACGATGCCATCCTCATATCCACAGGGTGATTGGGTGGCATCAGACAACACGTGGAAAGTGCTTCAACCAAAAGCAGCCCTTCCTGTATGACTATCTTGGAGGGGACGTTCCTGGGGCGTGCTCACCCGCCACTGGGGTCTGCGGGATGTGGGGCTGAATATGTACTACCATTTACTTATAAACCTACTGGTCCTACTGGGCTGTCCGTACCTCCGCACCATCTACTTTCCCCACGGTACCCAGCACAGAGCCCAGCACAGAGCCTAGCACACAGCAGGTGTTTAATTAGGAGGCAGAGTAAGAGGGGCTGTCCTGGAGGAGTAGTCCCACGCCTGTCTGCCTGCCAAAATCACTGGGGTTGGGTATTACACCCGCAGATCCCGGGGTCCTGTCCCAGAACTCCCCACCAGCTCTCTAGGGGCGAGGCTGGGAAATCTGCATCTCTACAAGCTGCCCAAATGATGCTGAGGCACATGAAGACTGCACTCAGCTCGAAGGCCTGGCCCTGTCTCCCTGGCCCAGCACACCCAATGATTCCCGGGGCTCCCTGCCTCTCCAAGGACCGCTATAGTGATGCTTCTAAAAGAGGCCTCCAGGGCCCACCACGGTCCACACGCCTTCACCTGGCAGCCCAAGGCCCCCGCCTCTCACTCTTTTTCCTCCCAAGCCTGTGTGCCAGCAGCACTGAATTGCTCTGGGTTGCCTGAGAGCCGTGGCGGCTCATGCCTTCCCGGCTGAACTCTGAGGTTCAGACGTGCCTGCGTCCAGGAAGCCTTCCTGTGTCTCTCCCGAGCCGCGCCCCACCCCCCAGCTCCCTTGGCCTCTGCGTCGCAGTTTGATCACCCTTTGTTGTAACTGTTGGCCTCCTCGAGGGCAGGGACTATGCCTTCCTCATCTCTGTGCTCCTGGCAACTGACTCGGGGCTTGCGGGCACAGTCAGTACATAGTGAATGTCGGCTGAATGAGTGAACGAATCAAGGCACAAGTTCTCATTCAGGCTCTGTGACCTTGAGCCACCTGGGCCTCAATTTCCCCGTCTCTAAAATGAGAGGGTGTCTGAGAGCAGTGGCTTTCAAGGCTCGCTGGGAAGTGTCTGGGAGCTGAGCCGGAGGTGAGGGCCCTACTCACTCCGCAGTTTCACCCAGAGCAGCTCCACCCCCTTTCATCTGCATCTTGTGTTATGGAAAAGAGTAAACAAACGGGTTCCCGGGCTTAAAACAAAGCTTTCAAGCCACTGGACTGGGCGATGTCCAAGTACCGTTCTGGGTGTCCAGTCCTAATGCTTGAGACAACCAGAGATCGGGTTCCACCAAGGAGGCCTTACCAGTTGACCACGGTCACTGGCTGGCCTGCTGTCCCCGGGCCCCACCAGCTCGGGATATTCACTCCCAACAGACAGGAATACAAAGGAGGAAGTAGGAGAAACCCGTGAGATGGTGGGAGGCGGGGTGGTGTGTGATATATAAGCCCTCCTCAGGACCGCCAAGTTTGAGCAAAGTAACTAAATCCACAAATCTGAAAAAGAGAAGGCCAGCCATGGGCGGGCGCGCTGTGAGGAGGCTGGCCATGCGCGCTGAACACACTGGCGCCTGCTTGAGGGAGTACTACCTCGGGGGCACAGTGGGGGCCTGAGTGTCTGGGCAGAGGGTCTGCCACAAAGTGGCATGGTGCCTGCTCAGCGATGAGAATCCTGCCAGAAAGCCATTCCTGGCAAGGTGGCTCTGACCCACCCAACCCAACCCAGCTCCGTTTACCTTCTCACCCCGGTTGGAGAGTGGCCCATCCATATCGGCTTTGAGGTGGACGGGGGGCGCGGTGTAAGGCAGCCGGCAGTGCACCTGCCCGCACTGTACCTGACCTGTGGACGAGAGGATGCCTTGGAGCCCATCCCCCAGCCTCCATGCAGGATCCCACCAGCCCCAGGCTCGGTAGGCTGGAGCCCTGGGGCCAGTTTCACCTCTGCCACTTACCAGCTGTGTGGTCCCGGGCAAAATTTCAATAGGGTACCATTTTTCTACGTGAAATTCTTTATGAGCTATAAAGTGTTACATGATAACTGTCTAGCTCACTGATAAATAAACTCATAAATGAGTATGGACAGGCACCCCTATGTTCATAGCAGCACTATTCACAACAGCCAAGACATGGAAACTACCTAAATGTCCATCGACAGATGAATGGGTAAAGAAGATGTGGTACATATATACAATGGAATACTACTCAGCCATAAAAAAGAACGAAATGATGCCATTTGCAGCAACATGGATGCAACTAGAGATTATCATACTAAGTGAAGTGAGTCAGAAAGAGAAAGACAAACACCAGATGATACCACTTATATGTGGAATCTAAAATATCACACAAATGAACTTTTGTGCAACAGAAACACATTCATAGACATTGAGAACGGACTTGTGGTTGCCAAGGCGGGCTGGGTGGGAGAGAGGTGGAGTGGGAATCTGGGGTTAGCAGATGCAAACTATTATATATAGAATGGATAACAACAAGGTCCTACTGGATAGCACAGGGAATTGTATTCAACATTCTCTCACAAATCATAATGGAAAACAATATAAAAAAAAGAATGTGTGTATGTATATATACATATATACAGATATATATATAACTGAATCACTTTGCTGTACAGCAGAAATTAACACAACATTGTAAATCAACATTGAAATTAAAAAAGTAAAAAAAGAAAAAGAAACGAATATGTACAGAACACCTCCTACACGCAAGGCTGTACCCCATCCATTAGAATCCTCCCTTGGTGCACTGTACCTTCTTATCTCCCAAGAATCACCAAGGCTTTACCCCCACACCCTAGAGGACTCTGCACTCATATGTCACCTTCTTTATGATGCTCTCCCTGACCATCCATTTACAACTGCAACCCAACACCAACCCTACCCTCTCTGTCATCCTTCTCAGCTTTATTTTTCCTCTTTAGCACTTACCATCATCTGACTTACTGTATATTTTTATTTTTTATTTGATATTATCTGTCTTTGCCAGCTATAATGCAAGCTCCAATGAGGGGAGGAATTTTTGTCTGTTTTCTAGATTCTAGATCTTTGTGGATTTCCAGGATCTAGAATGAGGCATGGCATCTAATTTGTTGAATGGGTCTCTGTACAACATCTAAAATGGTGGTGGCGGGGGTGGGGGGGAGTCCATCCTTATGTCTGACCCAAATCTCTCATGCTTCAGCCTCTTTACCACTACAGTGGAGAAGTCTATGGCCTTGCTCTTCTCTGCACTTCACCCTCTTTGGTCAGAGGGGAAAGAGCTTTGTACAGAGACTTACAATTGATATGTAACTTAGGACAAGTCACTGTTCCTTTCTGAGCCCCAGTTCCCTCGTCTGTAGAATAAGGTGGTTGTATAAGATGGGGGATTCTTAACCTGGGGGGTTTTAGGGGTCCACAAACAGCCTGAGATTACATGGGAAACTGCGTGTGTGCATATTTCTGGAATCTGATTCCAAAGTTTTTTATCATATTCCAAGTTCGAAGTCTCCGGGAAACTCAGGAACCTGTGAATTTAGTGAACGGCGAAGAAGAGTGCTAGGGTGACCTTCAGTCATGCAGCAAGAGGCAGCAGGTCCAAACACCCTTGATGCCTCCTGCCCTGAGCTGGGTTCACCTTAAGGGGAAAAGGAAAGGGTACCTCAGCCCCTTCTCTAGGTGTCCAAGACAGTTCTAGACTTGGCCGACAAACTGTGTGGGCAGAGTCCTGGCACAGCTCCCGAGGCCATGGCCCCACTCCCCACAGGGCCACCTAGATCCATTAGCAACTCCACAGCAAGTGCCGGCTGGTGGCCCAGACTCCTGGTACCTAGAGAGCCCCTGGTCCTTGGCTCCTTTAACAGATGAACTAGATCATCAATGGGCTCTCTGCAGCCTGAACATGTCATTGTTTCAAAAAGAAAGGGGGAAAAAAGTCCCTCCTACTAAGCAGATGGTTCAGAAATGGAACAGAACAAAGAGACACTGTTTCCAGCTGACAGCCTGGCGCGGTGAGCAGGGCTCTACACTCTCAGCGCCACCAACCAGAGCCACTGCCACCACCACAAGGGCAGCTAGTGCTCATCCAGCACTTACTAAATGCTGAGGACGCTAAGTCAATGATCTCGTTTGAGGCTTGCAACACTGCTTCGAGATACGTATTCTTTCCGTTTTTTAAAAGGGCTTGGATTCTTACTGTCCTCATTTTTTACAGATGAGGAAACTGGAATTCAAGGATGCTAAGAAGCTTACCCAATGTCACACAGCTAGTAAGTGACAGGGACGGGATCCGAAGCCCCACAGTCTGATGCTAGAGCCCACATTCAATCATTAAGGAACCTGGCTCCCACTAACTTACTGTTGGCCCTTGGTTTCCTCATCTGTACAATGGGATGGTGATGTTTAGAAACATGTGGTAGGACAGTGCCTGGCACATGGCAGGGACTCAGGGCACAGCTGTGCTCTCCCTGACCTCCCTTCTCTTTCCCTTGGAGCCAGAGAGGGAGGGTTTGAGTTTGTGGGTATGTTGTCATCACTGCTATATTTCTGGTCATGCCCAGCTTTGAGGAAACAATCAATAGAAACAACCTCAAAGGGAAAGAAAATCTGTGATAAGCACCTGCTCAACAGCAGATTCACTGAATGTCCATCCCCCAGAAATGCACAAGCCTACTCTCTCTCTTTCCCCCAGGTTCCTGCTCGAAGGTCACTCCACCACAACCTGCCACCCCCTCTCCACCACAGTGCTCAGTCCCCACTGACATGCCTGCCCTCCATCCTTTATTCATTTATTCTCTCTCCCCCCCTCCTGTCCTGCAGCGTGAGCCTTGGGAGCACACAGGCTTTGGTCTGTTGTGTTTTCAGTTGTATCCCAGAAGGCACAGAAGGCACTCAAAAAATATTAACTGAACACATGAGTGGATCCTCATAACCCTGTGAAGTAGGCATTATTAATGTCCCAGTTTACAGATGAGGAAACTGAGGTTCAAAGAGGTCAGGTGATTTGCCCACGGCCTCACAACCTTGGGTACTCCTGCCACCCTGGCTTTCTTCTGCAACCCCAAACGCACCCATGCCACGCTTTCTGCCTACATTCGGTTCCTCTGCTGCCTGCACCCCTATTTGCCCACTCCTTGTGTCTCACTAATTCCTACCTATCCTTCTGGTCTCAGCCCACTGATAGGCAACATCTCCAGACACTCCCAGCCAGCATCTTGACTACAGGAATCACCACAATTAACACCACACGCTCATCTATCTCGTATTGTTCCATGTCTCTCCCACCAGAACCCAGGCTCCCCAGGACAGGACTTTAGCCATCTTTTTCTCTCCCTAGTCCCCGGGGCCTGGCACCGAGTGGATGTTTGGAAAGTACCAATATTTTTTGAACGGCTTAATGGCTTGCCTCTACTAAGGGTCGAGTCCCTCTAAGGCAGAGCCGGGGCACTTAACTCCTCTCCACAACCACTAGGTCCGAGGGACTGCGGAACCCTCGTCTGCACGCACGAGGCTCCCCATGCCTCCGCCGCCCACGAGCGCTCATCTACACCCCCCTCTCCCACAGGCCGGGCGACCAGGCTGTGGCGGTCACTTACTCTCAATGTAGCCGTGCAGGGTGACCATGCGAGCCCGCTCGGGGCTGCTGAACGGGGAGTAGTGGATGTCGTCGGACAGGGCGGAGGGGAGGCGGGACGGCGGCGCCCCGGAGGGCGGCACGGGATGCTGTGGTGTGTGCTTTTTATGACGCGCCCGGCAGTTTTGAAACCACACCTGGAACGACAGCCTCAGCAGCCTCAGCCTCGCGGAAAAGAGTCGGACGCGCCGCCGGGGGACCCCAGGAGGGACTGCCTCGTCGCCAACTGAGGAAGGGCGGCCACGTGCGCCCCGAACCCGCGGCTCCGCAGCCCAGCTACGCGCTCGAGGGCCCACCCCCAAGGTCCCTAGGCCCCGCCCCAGACCCGAAGGCCCCGCCCACCCCCGGCCCCACCTGGATGACCCTTCGGCTGAGGCCCGTCATGTCCGCAAGCTTCTGCAGCGTCTGCGCGTCGGGGTTGTTGTCCTGCGCGAACTGCGCCTGCATAACCTGCCAGGCGCCGCGGGGCGGTGAGGCACGAGCCCGCCGAGGTCGCCAAGGCCCCGGCCCAATCAGAGGCTCCGGCCCGGAGGCCACGCCCCAGACAGCTACAGCCCCTCCCCGCCACCCGCGGGTCGGGCAGAGGGGCGGAGTCAGGAGGCCCGTTCAGCCCCGCCCACTCCGAGGCCCGGCCCACACCCGGCCACTCGCGGCCCGCCAAGGTACCTGCAACTGCTCGGCGGTGAAGGACGTCCGCGCGCGCTTGGCCGGCTTGGGCTGACTGTCCTGTTCCGAGGGCACTGCCCCCTCCAGCGTGAGGCCGTTCCCTGAGGGCGACAGAAGTGGCTGACCACGCGTCCCCATCTCTTCTAGTGGCAGCCTGGAAAGGACGGGGGTGGGGGGAGCTGGTCCCTGGAAGTGTCGGGAGCGGAGTGGGCTGGGAGGGGGGATCCCAGGGTCCTAGTCCCTGAGCTCAGTCTTTGGGGAAGGGGCTTCCACTTCTGAGCGTCTGCTCAGTACCAGACGCTTCTCTTTCGGTGTGCCCTTTATGTCTCACAGCCCTGAGCACGGGCGACATTATCCTCGTGTTACAGCGGAGGAAACTGAGGTTCAGAGAGAAGAAAATCCCAGCTCTGGACCTTTCGACTGGTATTCTGACAGCTGGCTGACTCTAGCGCCCCAAATTGGGCTCCCTCCTTGATAAACTGGGGAAACCAAGGGCTGGCGGAGATGGGAAGCAGGCAGGTTACAGAACTGTGATCCTAATTTTGTAAAAACGGATGGGAGCAAAAAAGGTTGGAAGGATATACACCAAAGTGTTAGCAGGAGGGAGTGCAATTATGAAGACTCTACTTTCAATGTTTCTGCAACTTTTGAAGTTTTTTCAACAATCACGTGTCTCATCACCTTATTTCTCTAAGGTTTAACTTTGTTAACTGGAGTATACGTTAGTTATTCTCTTTCCATTTACATTACTTTTATAATCACACTAGATGTATTCCCATTTTAGTTTTTAGAACCTCATTTTTTGCAATGCAAAGGTAATAACATGCTCCTTGCCAAAACCTCAGAAAATTCAGATAAGCACAAAGAAGAAAATAAAAATCTCCAGGAATTCCACCACTGTTCATAATTTTTTTAATTAGGAAAAACACTAAACAAACACTCCAACATACAGACATAGAACGAAATCTGGGAAGATAGACACTAGAATATGAGGGGTGGTGGCATTCGAAGTGGTCTTTATTTTCTTCTTTTTGCTTAACCATCTTTTCTTAATTTTCTATAATGGGCATGTGTGTGTTTAAGATTAAAAAGTGAACCAGTAGCCAAAACTGAGGGCTGGTCAGTAAAGGAGTCCTGAGACCATAAGCCTTCAGGTTCCCTGCGTGGTAGGAGTCTGGAGTCAGGCCTGACTGTGAGAGCTGGAGTGTAATTGGCAAGGTTGTGACTAGGGGTAGTCCCGGTTGGTCCAGGTATGGAAGGAGCCTGGAGTCACTCCTGAGCCATGGTGTGGGGGAACCTCTAACTCCTGGACTTCCATCCCAGCTCCACAACTGACTTGCCCAGTTACTTGCAGGTAACTTCAGAGCACCCCAGCTTCATTTGCTCCCCACCTAGACCCACTCAGCCCTGATCCTGGCTGGAGAAAGTGATGGATCTGCTGTGGCCATGGCCAAGAACACTCTGGGGACGTCTAGACTAGTTCCTCCTCAGAGGCACTGGGGACGGGGCAGACACTTTATGACTCAGCCCCCATGATCCCAGGAAGACCTGGACCCTGTCTCTGAGCCTGTCTTGGGAAATCACAGTATCAGAGCCAGAAGAGATTTAGGGGTCTTTCTAGTCCAATATCCATCTTGAAACTAGGGAGACTGAGGCCCAGAGAGAAAAGGAAACTTTGTATGTCAGCACAACACGCCAGAAGCAAACCTGAAGTTTGGGTCTCCGGACTCAAAGGCCTCTCTCCTTACAGTCCAGGATGAAAACCCCACCCCCAAATCTCTGGCCTGTAGCTGCTGCGGTGGGAGTTGGGAGAAGAGGGTCACTTCATCTCTCGCAGACGGGCCCAAGCCTTGTTCCAGGAAACTGGAGGGGATGAGCCTCCGGTCCAACCAGAGCTGTCCAAAGGTGGAGTAGGCTGCCCCACTATGAGAATCATCTCTAGGGTTCACTGAGCGCCTCTCGGCTTCACAGCACATCGGCTCATCTAGCTTTGAGGTGTCCTACCATCAGCCCCATTTTACAGATTAGGAAACATAATTTGCAAGGACCGGCTGTGACTTCCAACTTTCAAACAAATGGTGGAGCCAGAAGCGGCCAGATCCGTGTGCAGCCCCACCCCCATGCTGCCTGCAGGTGATAAAGGGGGCAACTGGCTCTAGCGAAGTGTGGGCAGTCCCTGGGGTGCTGGGGGTGGTGGTCAGAGAAGGCTGGGGAGCCGAGGGGCAGCCAGTTTCGGGGCGGGGCGGGGCGGGTTGGGTACCGTTCTCGGCGGCCCTCTTGAGATTCTCAATCATGGTGTCGTAGTGGATGCGGCAGAGCACCTTCTCCTCGACCAGGCCAAACTCCTCGCCCGTGGACAGCTGGCGCTTGCACGAGAAGCAAGCGAAGCAGGCCAGGTGGTAGGCATTGCCGCGTGCCCGCCGGACCCAGTCGCTGGCGTAGATCTGTCGGCCGCACCTTGCGCACTTGGTCCCAAATCGGCTGAAGGACACGGGGTGGGGGTGGGGGGCGAAGGGGAGGGGGTGGCGAGGCTCAGACAGACCATCCAAATCCTAGTGGCCCGGCCGTGCCCAGGTTCCTGAGGGCCTTCACGCGTGCATTTCCCTTTGCCTGGATTCACCACCCCCTGCAGCCAAGTCCCACCTAGAAGGCAAGCTGGTAGGTGGTTTTTATTTTCTTCCTGGTGCTTTTCTGAGTTTTCCAAATTTTCTTCAATGATCACTTAACATTTGTATATAGTATTAACCTGCTCATTAAAATATAAGTGTTAGGGAAAATTTAATAGTAGTAATAATATAGGCAGATTTATGAGCACTTAACCACTTGCCCAGCAAGATTCTAAGTGTTTTATGCTGATCGTCCCAAGTAATCTTCATTTTGCAGATGAGGGAAATGGGGACCAGAGAGGTAAAGTAACTTGCACAAGGTCACACAGCTTGCAAGGAGAGAACTCCTAGCCAGTATGACTCCAGAGATGAATAAACTGTAACCCAGCTGTAGAGAAGCTCAGAGTTTCTTGGAAGCATAGACAGATATGCCCTTACTAGCTTTGTGACCCTGGGCACATTGTTTAACCTCTCTGAGTTCTCATTTTCCTTGCCCTGAGCTGAACTAGGTGACAACAGCAGCTACGGCTATTTGTTTAGTGCTTTGTAGTCTATTACGTAACCAGCTAGTCCCAGACTCTGGAGTCCTGTGTCATTCTAACAAGACAAAAAAGCCCAGATCAAATGCCCCACTCTCCCTTAAGCCTTCCTTGATTCTGCTTCTTCCCCTTCTCCCTCCCCCTTTGTGGTGTGGCTATTTGGGTGTGGCTGCCTCCACCACCAGACTGGGAGCCCCTCCAGGAAGCAGCAGTCTGATTTGCCCTGTCCCAGAAGTCAGCCCAAGGCCTGTCCCCAGGGCACCAGGGAAAATTTGTTCTTGAAGTGAATGACTCACTCTGTGACCCTGTCTGGACCCTCTGAGCCTCAGTTTCCTCTGGTGCACACTGTTTCAGGGAACGGTGCTTTCACCCATCCAGCCTCTCAAGCTCATAAACCTAAATCATACGCTCCTCCCTCTCCTCAATCCCCCATCCAGCCAATCATCAGGCACTGTTGGTTCCCTTTCCTAAGTATCTCTGGGACCCACCGCCTCCTCGCCACTGCCACCACTGCCCTCCTAAACCAGGCTCCCACCATGCGCCCCTTGCTGCCAGTCTCCACACCCATCCTCCAAGTAGTGGCTACAGGGAAGTTTCCAGCATGCGCACTTTACCCTGTCCGCTGCCCTGCTTAAAATCCTCTGGTGGCTCCACTCTACCCTCAGGATCTGGTCCAAGATCCTTGGGAGTTTACAAAGCTCAACAGACCACGTCCTCTCTGGCTCCTCTCCTCCCTAACCTTCCTCAAGATCCCTCACCCTACACTCAAGCATGAGCCCCAGTCAGCTACAGTGGAAGGTTGGTTCCAGGTCTTATGGCCCCCTCTGAAGCACTTTCCCACCCCAGGCCTTCGCACAGGCTGTTCCCTCTTCCCACCCTCCCCCCACACCCCCAGTCCCACAGCTCCCAGCACCACCTTCTCAGCAATGATCACACCGGTTTGTAAATGTCAGGTTTCTTGGCTCTCCCTTCCACCCCTGGCATTCCTGGGAAAGGAGCTAGAAGATTTGCCTCTGTGTCCCCAGAGGCACATTTCCACCCAAAAGAGCACTCGGAAATGCGTTTGAGTGCGTGGAGGAACCAGCCCAGCAAATGCGCCCTGGTTACAGCCTCGCCTGCCTTGGCAGATGCAAGCAACTGCCGGTTGAATAAACGGTCTCGGGTTGAACTGAGTGCAGCAGAGCGGAGGCCTCTGCCAGCCCCGGCTCTAGACGTACCCCCAGTGCCATGCCGCTCTGTCAGACAAGGAGCCCTAGGAGACCCTGTCGGCGGGCGGCGCGGTTCGCTCAGGCAGCGCTGCGCACCTTTGCGGGTTCGGTCAATTGCCTCCCAGACAGAAGTGGTTCCCGACCCCGGAAATTCGGCTTCCCCGGCACAGCCCGCCGTCTCCGTTCCCAATCTCTCAGTAAAAAGGAGAGGAAACCGCTTTGCCCACCGGAGCCTCCTCCCGCCGAGGGGCCGACCCCAAATTCCGAGGTCCGGCTCAGGATTGGGAGAACTTCCGGGCCTCTGAAGGGAGGAAGAAGGGCCAACCGAGTGCAGAACCCTCGCTGCGCTCCAGCGTCCTGGGGCGCAACTCTTTCTTTGCATCCCCCTCGCCGCAACCACGTGAAATGGGGACTCTGGCACCCAATTTGCACACGTGGAATCGGAGGTTCAAGGTGGACAAGTGACTTCGCCAAGACCACACGGAATGTGGGGCAGGGGTTGAGGTCCCCTCCGAAGTGCAAAAAGAACCCCTAGAACCTGCGAAAGCAGCCGGACGGGAGATACGTAGAGTTGAATCCCGGTGTATGAACAGGAAAGGGGCCTGGTCTGACCAAGTCGCAATCCCCACTCCGGGCCTTGGGACCTGGAAACTCCCGCGCGCAAGGCATAGGAACCCTCAGGCTCCGGTAAGCTGGGAGTGCGTTCCCAGGGAGTTGAAAGGGCCGGGAGGCGAAGGTCCGGGCCCTCAGAGGCCGGCAGGAGCCGTTGCGTCTCCAGCCTGTCGTGTTCCGGGATCAGTGCGCTGAGCCAGAGTGTAACATCTCGGATCCTGGCGCTTGGCTCTGCGGGATGCCTCGTTCTCGGCCAAGACGCATCCAAGACTCCCCGCGCATCCCTGATCTTCCCGCTCCACGAGCCCCGACGCCCGGGCGCGTTCTGCGCCTACGTTGGCGGCTCACAGTGCCCTCATCCCCTTGCTCTGAGGCGGAAGCCGCTAGCGACCTGTCAGCAACTTTCTCACCCTCCGCGTGTCACCCTAAATGCCAGGAGCTGTCCCCAGCTCTAGGAGCTCCGTGCGCTCGCCGTGTCTCCGCCCAGTCAACGAAATCATCCTCCCGCTGGATCCTTGGATGAAGTTGGGGGGTCGTTTTGCAGTTTTCGGGCCGCTCCTGAAGCGTGTCCCCCACCCGGGGAAGGGGTCAGTGGCACAAACAAGGGGCACGAGGAGGCTTACAGATCCAGGCTCTGACAAACCGACAGACTCCTTCCCAGGCGGGCTGCGAGGCCCGAGCCGCCGGATTCCGGAAGCAGCGAAATCGGCGGCGGAGACAACGAAACTTCAAGAAAGGGGTGTTCGGAAGCTGCGAAGGGAGCGCCAAAGCGATTAGGGGGCGCGGCCATCGCCCGCCACCCCCAGCCTTGTGCGCGCCCCTCCCTGGGTCCCCGCGCGCGCCACGGGGCAAAGGCTCAAAGCACAGAGGCGCTTTGAGGATGGAGAGATGTTGGACGGAGGCTGCGCATCCTGGTAACTGCTGAAAGGAGCGGAGTGGGCCACGCGCACCGCCTTGCCCTCTCTCCCCGGAGCAGGGAACGGAGACATCTGGGTGCTAGTGGCTCCGCAGAGGGAGGTGTGCGCCATTGACCAAGTCAGGCTCGCTCCCCCGGCCTACCTCTCCTGGATACCGAGTAAGAGCTCGGAAGTCATTGGTTGGGTGAATGAGCCTCAACGAAAGAGCCCATCGGAATTTCACTGCGACCCCTGCCCATTACTAAACTACCCCTTTTCTGCATGAGGAAACCGAAGCTCAGAGTGGGAAGGGCAATGTTAATTAAGAAGCTAGTGAGCCAAGGCGGTGCCACTCAAACCAGGCGTCCCTTGTTTTGCGTTCAGGACGCTCGCTTGAGGGCCTTAGAGCGAGGCTATGAAGCAAACTGGGGGGATCAGAGGTGGAGTCCTTCCTATTCCTTCTGCTCCTCCCCTTCCCGGCAAACCATTCGTAGAAGCAGCCAGAAACAACAGAACCAGCAACTAAGAGGTTAAAACGGCCCACTCCTCGGAGGTCCCAGCGCAAGGCCCCTCCCCGAACGCCTCTCTCAGCTCCCCCAACATCTGTCCCCCAACAGCTGGCGGCCGCTGGGCTGCTCTCTGCCGCGGTGGGGGGCGGCTTCCCAGCTCTGAACCTCCCGGGGTACCCTAGCTCCGGGGGAGGGGGTGGGGTTCTCCTGCTGGAGTCCGAGGTCTGAGCTTGGGTTCGGGGCAGAAGGAGGGAAAGAAGGCTGCGGGCTTGCCCTAAGTGTCTCGCGCCAAGCTGGGGACAGCAGTAGGTAGGGCCCCTCCCAGGCCCAGCCCGGGGCACTCTCTGAACCCCACCCGCATAAACACAAGGAGAAGCGGTTAACCCGTTACTCCCCACTCCCGTGGTCAGGAGGCAAGAGGGCTAGAGACCCTGGTGACCCGATCCTGGCAAAGTTGCTCCAGTCACTGGGACTCTGAGGTCACTTCACTCCAGCCCTAGTACTCCCAGGGCCCACCCATGGAGAGTCACACAGCACAGCAGGTGCTCCCTGTGGGAGCCCTAGGGCCACGGGGGGGGGGGTGGGGGGGGGGGGGGGGGAGGTGGCCTTTGCCATTGCATGGGCCCCACCTTGCACAGGGGGGCTGCTGACATGTCTCGGCTATAGAAGAAGAGTATTGAGTATCTAGACACAGGGATGGTGAGTCAGGCAGCCCCGGGGCTTATCCCAGTTCTGCCGCTTATTAGCTGTGTGACCTCACCACTCAGGGCCTCAGTTTCCCCTCCTATAATGTAGGGATTATGATAGTAGCCTACTCACAGGGGGAATCTGAGGAGTCAATGACATAAAACAATGAGATGTAAAGGGTTAACACAGTTCCTGGCTTAGAGAAGAGCTCCATAAAGTCTCCTGACAGCGTCCTCGTCCCTGTCTGGTCCCTTCTTCCACTCTCTCGCTGGTGGGACCCGGGGCACAGCACTTTCCACTCTCTCAGGACATCATCTCCCCCACTCTACAATAGGCAAGACGCTTCAGGAGGCCAGGAGCTTGAAGGGCACTGCAGACCAGTCCATGCCTGCCTTTGGGGGGCAGCGGCCACAGGTTGGTGGGCAGGAGGCAGCTGTCTGGGGTTTTGATTGCTGAGGGCAGTGGAGACATGAATGCCCCAGAAAGGAACGCTATTTTCCCCCCAGGACTTTTTTTTTTCTTTCACTTCTTGGAAGAAAATAAAAAACAGTCTTAAACCAAAAAAAGTGAAGAAATTAAAAGCAATACACATTTTCTTGGTGGTAGTTTTTTTTTTTTTTTTCCTGCTAGGACTCAGGGGGTTAGGGGAGGTGGGAATCTGGTTGAAGCCACAAAGGCTGGTGAGGTCTCTCTTTGGATGGCAAATGGAGAAACTGAGGCAGAGAGGTCCAGCGACCTCACTGAGGACACACAGCCAGTGGAAAACCAATCCCTTCCAACAATGCAAAGCCAGGAGCAGCATTGGACCCCTGGACCACCTCCCCACCCAGGCTCTGCAGCCTCCTGCCCCGATGAGCTTGGAGTGCCTTCCTAACTTCTAGCTTCCTGAGTCCCCAACGCTGCCAGCTCTGCCAAAGGAGATGGAAGAGGGGTCTACAGGCCAGTGTCAAGGAGGGGCAAGATAGGGGATAGAACTGAGAGGAAACTTTTCCCTGGGGAATAAGACCAGAGCCAGAGGACCTCGGAAGCTACCAGTGCCCCCTCCAGGGGGTCTTGGCCACTTCCTCCCTCCCTGCATCCTGTCCAGAGATCTTGGCCTCTCTTTGGGGTGAGCGCTCCAGTCCACTTCCCATCAGACTCTCGACCTTGGGCTTCAGGAAACAGAGGGCTAGAGGATCTGAGCGCTCAGCCCTTCCCTGAGCCCCAGCTCTAGAGGGGGCTCTGTCTCCCGTGCTCCCATTCCTGCTCTCTCCAGGAGGGGCTCCTTCACAGCAGCCGCCCAGAGCCTGGGCTGCCACGCCGGGCACTCAGTAGTCCCTGCCTGGCACTCCGCCTGCTTTTTTCTCTCCCTTTCTGTGGGTTTTATTATTTTTGTTACAGGTGGGGCTGCCAGGGATGAGTTATGCCTGCAGGGAGACCTGGCTGGGGGAGAAATGATCAGAAGAGCCACAATTCTTCTCTCATCCCAAGGAATGTGAGCTTTTATTCGCTCCATTTTCTTAACCAAAAATCTGTTTTAGTTTTGCTTTGGGGGCTCTTGTCACTGCTGGAAAAGGATTAGCGTTCAGAACCTGCAGCCCAGAAATGGCCCATCCCCATCCTTGCTCCCCAGACTCCCTGAGGAAATGCCATTAGGGGATTATGTCTGGAATCCTGTCACCAATGGTGACAGTGGTGACATCCATAGCACCTACACTTTAGGGAGCCTCTACTGAGCCTTCCTCCCTTCACTGGCCTCCTTGGCAGCTCAGAGAGATAACCCTGGTAGGAGGACACTGAGGACAGAAAGATGCAGGGATTTGCCCAAGGTCACACAGTGATCAGGGCTGGCCTGGTGGAGCCTGGTCTCTGTGTCTCCACAACAGCTGGACATCCCATTCCCCACCCCACCGCAGTGGGAAGGGGGACTCCACAGCCAGTGAGGTGCTGAACAGTGAGATCAGGATCTGAGTTTTGACTAAGCCTTGAAGGTCTAGGAAAGCATGTCAACCACGGGGGCTTGGTCCAGCCTGGGCATGAGCCGGGGCTGGAGCTGCAGCAAAGACATGTGGCTCACAGGGTGGCAGGTCTGTCCCCACAAGGAGAGCAAGGAGAGGGGGCCAGGCCTGCCTTACTCTACGGGAAGAGGTCTGCTGGGTTTCCCAGGCCTCAGCTGTGTCCCTGGATAGCTGATGAACCCAAGGAGCCCTGAAAGAGTAGCTGGCTTGTTTTTCTTTCTTTTTTTTTTTTTTACCAACTGGAGTCAGGCCTAGAGCAGGGCACTGGCTACACAGGGACCCCAACCTCCCTCTCCTGCCCTGGCCAGCTAAGTGTCAGATGGGACAGTGGAGGGGAGACATCACGCTCTGATTACACACCACACAATGATAAGCCCGCTCTCACATACACACACACCACAGCCCACATCCACACCCACAAATCCACATTCACCTCACACCGTTGAGCCCCCAATGCCTGGGTTAAGGCCGTAAGCAGAAATGCCCCCTCAGAGGAGGGCTGTGTGGCGGGATGGGGAATGAAGGGATTTCAGAACCCTCACCTGCTCACCTCCAGATCCCAGTCCAGATGTGAACTTGTCCTGACCACCTTGCACAACACATACACACACACACACACACGCGCGCGCACACACACACGGTCCCGACATTCACACAGCCACACACTCTCTACACTCACACATAAACTAAAAGACAAATGCTTGTTGTAAAGGAACACCTACGCTGTCCGCATACCCCTCACCCTGCTCAGTGACACATTCCCCCAGCACCACTGCACAGATCCGGACAAGACAGACACACAAGCATCCTTGAGTCCCATGAGTCCCAGGCCACCTGGCAGAGCCGCCCCTCCCCATGCACACCCCAGCTGCACTGCCGCTCACAGCCATGCACCAGGAAGAGTCCATTTTTCGAACCAGGCTTCCTAAGGTTTCCTTAGAGTACCCCAGCCCCCAATGCTGCTAGCTTCTTCCTAGATTCAAGGTCCTCTCTTTCCAAGTTCCCAGAGACTCAATGCCGGGGAAGGGGGCGGCACTGCCTTCTACTGCATCCCCTGACTCAGGGGATCTTTCTGGGGCTGGGGTCTTCCCAGGAAGACTGAAGCCATGACCTCTTCCGAGGCAAGGATGGGAAGGATGTCGGCGGACTGGGGAAGGGGGTGGTGGTGGTTATAGGGGAGTAGCTTTCTCCACTTCCTGAGAAAGCCCTTGGGAACAGGCGTGCGGCCCAGGAACCAATCTCACTCTGCTCTCTTTGGACTCTGTAGGCCTGCTGGACGGGCTTCAGGCCTGCTTCACGCTTCCCGCCGGGATCGAGCCGGCAGCCGCTGCTCCTCTGACCTCGCAGTGACCTCGACCCCGTGACCGGGTCAGGCCCGAGCTGCGCGGTGAGAAGCCAGGCGCAAGTGACGGAGAAGTGGCGGGAGGACTAGCCGGGCTGCTGTTGAGAGCTGAGCGGCGGGGACGCGGCACCGCGGCACAGAGAGCGCAGCCCAGGGTGATCCTACTCGGGGCCCTGGCTACGGCGCCCGACTCCCCCTTCCTGTCCCGGCGGCCCAAAGTCAGAGCCTAGACCCCAGAGAGGCTGAAGCCGGGGCCCGAAACGACGACGGAGCTGGGACTGGAACAGGCACCTGGGATGCAGGCAGAACCCAGACTCGAAACACTATACTCGAGCGATGCCGGGGTCTGAGTTGAGGCGGAGCCGGAGACCGAGGTCGGGAGTTAGATCGATGAGCTTGAATATGGGTTCGGATCCGAGACCGATGCGAGGCTAGTGCTTGGGGCCGGACCAGACTCGAATCCAGCCTCGAACCCGGCCGGGGTAAAAGCCGAGACCAGAGCCAGGGCAAGAGTCTGGAGCCCAGCTCAGGGTCCTGCCCGGGAGAGACGCCGGCTTGGCTGGAGTAGGAGTAGGGTTGGAACCCAGAGCCGGAGCGCACCGGAGATGCAGCCAGGTCGGCTGGGAAACGAGCGGATCGGGGCAAGACGGGGACATCAGAGCTCGACCAACGCGCTGGAAGTCGGAACTTGAGCCTGAGACTCGGGCAGGATCCGAGACCGAGCCAGAGACGCGACCAAACCCGAGTGGGTCACAGCAACCGGAGGCGATCAGCGGCCCGAACCTGTGCTGGCACCCGCGCTCGGCCTGGAGCTCCTGGTTCGTGGCGCTGAGAGCCGGTGGGCTGGGCCCTCGCGGCGCACCAGAGCATTCGGGACACGGGGGCTCCGGAGCCAGAGACAGCGCGTCGCAAAGGCGGCCTCCGCGCGCCGGTGGCCTGCCTGCGGCGACATTGCTGGCCCAGCGGCCGCAGCCTACCTGAAGTAGTCCATCTTGCAGAAGATTTCCTTGTTCTTGATGTAGCAGCTGTTCTGCTGCCTCAGCGACGTGCGACACACGGAGCACTCGAGGCACCGCACGTGCCAGATGAGGTTGTTGACCTGGGGAGGGGGTGGAGATGGGGGGCGGCTCAGCGCGGGCCTCTTTTCACGCCCGGCCCCAGCTTCCCCGGCCCCATTTGCAGACAGATACGCCAGAGCTCTGAAGGTACATGGGACTTCCCCACTTTTCCTCTGTAACACAGACTCAGGGAGGTAGAAATCAACTCTGCCCATTTTTCAGACAGGAACCCGGGAACGCAGAGAGACGCTACGATTTGCCCGAAGCCACGCAGTCAGGCAGGGATGAGCCAGGTTTCGAATTTAGTGGACCTGGCGCCGGCATCGTTTCCCTGCAGTCCTCTGGGTTGCAACCCACACCCCGCCAACACACGCAACACTCCGCCCCTGTCTCACCTTGAGCAGATATCGGTCCAGGATCTCGAGGCCACAGCTGGAGCAGATGTTCTTGCCGGCAGACGGCACGGAGGAGGCAGCAGAGGGCGGTGAGCAGACAGATGGCGTGCTGGGCGTACAGGGAGAGGCCCGACCCTCGTCCTTGTCCAGAGGGCCTGCCAGGGCCTCAGCGTCCGACTGAGCCTGCAGTGGGGAAAGAGGGAGAGCCGCGCTCTGAGCTGAGGGCTAAGCCAGGTGCCCAGCGTTGCTGCTGCCTCGGAGACAAATCTGGGGCCTCAGCGAACCAACTAACAACGAAATGCCCCCGAAACGACAAGCCACGGGCTACAGGACAGGAATGGAAGGGCCTACTGGAGAGGACAGGACGGCTCCAACTTTTAGCACGCGCTTCCTAGGTGCCAGGAGCGGTCAAAGCTCCCATTCCCGGCCAGAAAACCGAGGCTCAGAGAGGGGCGGCGCCCTCCGGCAGTCCCCCAGCGCACGGGCAGCTGTTCGGGGCCGGAAAGCCGGGTCAGCTCCCCAGGGCCCGGCCGCCGGGAGACCGGGGACCGAAAGCAGGGCCGAACGAACTCACCATGGCGGGCGGCGCGGTCCCTTCAAGGCAGCGGGTGGTCGCTTTGCAGCCGGACCCTGGCTGGGCCATCACCTGGGGGAGGGGGGAGGGAACGCAGGCGGCGGCGGCTGCAGAACTGGCTCCGCGCAGCCTGAGCCCAGCGCCTCCCCGCGCCTGTTATATAAACCGGCGCGGAACAATGAGTCCTAACTTTGTAGTGGGCATTTAAAGCCCTTCCCCACAAAAGCGGTGTCTCTCTAATGAAGCAATTTGAATTTGGATTGGATTTTTTCCCTCTCTCTCCCCCTCTCCCTGCACTTAACCCGTGGCTCTTGAAGTAATCGCTTAGTTCCCTTGCAATACAAGCCTCTGAGGGGGAAAAAAAACACGCGCACACATACAAACTACCTGCAATTAGAAATTGTCGTGAATGCCCAAGATAAGAGGTAGCCAGAGTGTCAATTCCAACTGTCAATCAGTGAGATCCATCAGGCCGCCCAAAGAATTGCAAATTTGATTTTTTAATGGTAGTAATTAAAAATCGAATTTTTTCTCCCTCCACCCACCCCCTTTCTCGCTCCCTTCTCCTCCTCTCGACACAAAATGCAAAAAGGAGAAAAGAGAGAAAGAAAGAAAAGAAAGAGATGGGGGGTGGGCGCTTGAGGAAAATAAAACCGGGAGCGTTGGGAGCAGCAGCCCGTCCACCCCGCGCGCGCGGCGAAATCGGTGCGGCGATACCGACTCGGATTCAGGCGCCTTTCGCGGGCCAGTCGGAGGGAAACCCAGAGCAAAACAGGGGCTAGATCGGGGCCGAAACGGGACCAAAAAGAGAAAACGGAGACGTCCAAGAAGGGGAAAAAGCACCCTCCAGCCCCTCGGAGCGCCCGGGACCGGCCCCGCGCCGAGATTCTCAGCCTTGCGCCCGCACAACCCCCGGCGCATTGGCGCTATCAGCGCCTATTCAGACGGACAATACCCGCCTCGCCTCCTCTTGATTCGCCTGTGTCTTTGCTAAATCGCTTTTTGAGAAATTCCTTCAACATTTGCATAATGTGTTCCCGCTTTCCGCGACCCCCCCTCGCGCTCCTGCATGCTCACACACTCACATACACACACTCCCAAGCGCACCCCAGCACCCTTCCGCTCTGCGGCCGCCCGCCACCCGGCCCGGCCCGGCTGGGTCTCGGCCCCTGTCCCACCCCGGCCCGGACGACTCACCCACTCGCTCTCTCGCTCGCTCACCTGGTCGGTGGCGGGGCCGCCCTCGGCCGGCAGCCGGCAGCCCTCGGGCAGCGCCGGGGCGGCGTTCTCATGCTTCCAGTACATGGGCCGGGGAGCGGCGGGCTCAGCGGACGCGCAGCGCGGAGAGCCGCGCCAAGGGGGGCCACGGCCGCAGCGGGAGCAAAGGCTGAAGCAGGAGCTGGAGGAGAGCGGAGGCGCCGGCCCCGCCGCCCCGGGCCCGGTCCCAGCCGCAGCCCCCGCCCCCGCCCCGAGCCCCGTCCGGTGCGCAGCCCTGGCCTCCCTGGCTGCCTCCGCCGCGGTCTCGGAAGAAGGTCCCGACAAACTTGGAGAGGCCCCCGCCCCCTCCTTCTTCTCCTCCTCTCCCTCCTCCTCTCCCTCCTCCTCTCCCTCCTCCTCTCCCTCCTCCTCTCCCTCCTCCTCTCCCTCCTCCTCGTCCTCTTCCCCCTCCAGCTGCGGCGGCGGCTGCCCTGCCGCTGGAGCCCCGCTCGGTTCAAGATGAGTCATGCGTGACCAATCCCCTCCCCGCCAAGGGAGAGCGAGACACAGCGAGGCAGCGACCCAGAGACACACACAGACATATAGACATACAGAAACTCAGAGCTGCTGATGGAGAGACTCAGAGACACGCTGACATACAAAGGCACCCTCAGGCACACACGCACCCAGCTCTCACCACCGCCCCTCCCTCAAGGGGCACCCACAGACCTCAGGCACAGCCCCACTTACTGGTACAAGAGGGATCCATGGTCACACCTTGGGCTGAGCTGGGTTTCATATAAAGTCACACATTATACTCCGTTGATGCAATCCATGCCTCTTACGTTTGTGTACATCTGATGCAAATGATGACCTGTTCGCATCATTTACAGGAGCACAAGACATCTACACATACTCACACACCTGCGCAGCTGTCTCTGCTCCATAACAACTAAAGAGCACACCAGTTCCTCAGGGCTTGGGCTACATCCCATCCTAAATGGGATTGGGCTGGGTTGGGGGGTTGCTCCCCTGAATTCTCCAGGGAAGGATTGCCTGGGACACCCCCTTCTTTGCAGAGTTTGCTGAGCTATCCAGTCTAATGTCATCTCACCTTCTCTAGGGTTCTACTGATAGTAAGAGAGGTGGGGAAAGCAAGGAGGCCCAGGCATTTATATAGGAGACACAGCCCCCAAAGACTCAGACACAAAAGCCTCAAACTCAAAGACAAGGCCTTACACACACTAACATACTACATACACGCACAAGTGGACACTCACAGCCTCAATGCCCTTCCCACACAAACTGAGCTTAGGGAGACATGTAAATATACATCGTCTTCTGAAAACAAACATGCACACTTAGATCTGGCCCTACAGACACTACACACCCCATCTCCACCAAGTCGCACATACCATCACCTCCCTAACTGCCCTCATTTACAAATGTAAACACCCCACACAACTATTCTTACATGTGTACACACATCCATAGTTAAGAGAGCACAGACTCCCATGGAGCGCCAAACCCATGGAAAACCCCGTGTCCTCGACTCAGACACCCTCAGATATACACACATATCCCTACAGATGGCAAGGTAACCATTTATAGTCAGAAACAGCCTACACACCTCTGCAAACAGAGGATTCCCAGTAGTCACGGCTTCAGTCATGCACACACACAGGCACATCCTAACAGACACAGGCAGACAAGCGTATCTTCCCTCCAGTGTAATACTAAAGACTCACACCTGTATCCTCGAAAGAGACAAATATCTGTTTTTTTACAGACACCAAGGTACACAAAAATGGCCCCAGCCTCAGCCAATGGCATTTCCCACCCGCTGCATTTCCAGCCATTTTATTGCTCTCAGATACAGACATTCAGAGTGAAAAGTTTCTCTTCGGACCCTAATCTTTTTTTTAATATATAAATTTATTTATTTTATTTATTTATTTTTGACTGCATTGGGTCTTCATTGCTGCGCACCAGCTTTCTCTAGTTGTGGCGAGCGGGAGCTACTCATTGTGGTGGCTTCTCTTGTTATGGAGCATGGGCTCTAGGCACGCCTGAGGCATGGTAGTTGTGGCATGAGGGCTCAATAGTTGTGTCTTGCGGGCTCTAGAGCACAGGCTCAGTAGTTGTGGCGCACAGGCTTAGCTGCTCCGGGGCATGTGGGATCTTCCCAGGCCAGGGATCGAACCTGTGTCCCCTGCATTGGCAGGTGGATCCTTAACCACTGTGCCGCCAGGGAAGTCCCTGGACCCTAATCTTTTCTACTAAGAGCACAATTGCAATGTGAAAGCTGGTGCATATGCAAACACATACACACACATACACACGCACCCTCATACATCCATGTGACCACAGATGAACAACATCCTCTTCCTCAAATATCTTTTTTGAATAATAAACCCAGCAGCCACTCCTTGGAACTTTACTCCAGGACAGGCTTAACATTTTACAATCATGACTTTATTTTCTTTTTCACAATAACCCTATGAGGTAGTGTCTCTTCTTGTACCCATTTCACTGATGAAGAAACTGAGGTTCAGAGAGATCATGTGATACATCCAAAATGGTGCCACATGGCTAATAATTGTCAGGTTCAAGAACTCAAAACCAGAGTTCATCTGACATCAGAGTTTATGCTCTTGATTTCTAGGCTACATACATGACCATGTCCACTCTATGTATACACACAGACACACATGTGCCCCCCACACACACACAGACAGATTTTCCATATTATCCGTCAAAAGACCTGGATATGACTCCTGGCCTCATCATTTACAGGCTAAGCTTGCTTTGTCATCTTCAAAATGGAAATAATGGTCAGGCGACTTTATCTCCTTGTTCTCCTCCCCTCTGGGTAGCTGGGGGAAGCGAGAGGTCATTGAACATTATATGAAGCTGCACATATGTCAGATGTGTGAGTGCAGAAAGACTCCAGGAAAGAAGAGGCCATGAGGATGGTACTGGCTTTGCAGGCAAGAGGTGCGGAGGAGGCTTGAGCTAAAACGAAAGGGCAGATGAAATATGGGTGCATTCATGGGAGAGAAGAAAGTATTCCAGGTAGAGAGATGACGGCCAAGATTCAGAGGCTGGACAAACAAGCTGTCGTTGTCCTATGAGAAAGAACGTGAAGGATTTGCTCCCTAAGTGGTGGTGGTGGTAATGATAATAATAATAATAATAATAAAACTACTGTTTATTGAGCACTTATGTGCCAAGCACTGTTTTACATGCATTATCCTCTTGACCCCTTGCAATAACTCTGCATGGAGGTTATATTATTATACTTATTTCATAGTTGAGGAAACAAGCTTACAGAAGCCTCATTTCAAGCTCTAGCACTCAGACTCCAGAACCCAAACTCTTACCTACTATGCAATTCTGCTCCTGAATTCTTATATGGCACTCAGAAAATCAAAACTAGAATAACAGGCATTAAACTCAGTAGGGAAGCACAAATACCCTGGGGTCGGACTGCCATGGCGCCAGTCTTGACATTGCCCCTTACTACCTGGAGGACCCTGGACAAATTATTCAGCCACTCTTCAGTCTCAGTTTTCTCATCTGTACAGTGGGAATGATAGCAGAGTGCACTTCTTATGCTTGTGAAAATTAAGCAAATGATTCATGTAGAAGGGCTCAGAACCATGCCTAGCACACAGAAAGCAACCAATAAATATTAGCCATTGTTACTATGGACTGGCTGCCTTTTCCAGTTGTTATTCTAGTAGGTGCCACATCAAAGAAAATTTTTATGGAGGAAGGCAGGGCATAAGTCAACCAAAGAATCAAATATTCTCCTGAAGAGCTGCAGAACCATTATTCCAACCCAGGGCTTGCCTGACTTCAAAGAGGACAGAAGTGAAATTGATCTGAAAGCGAAATCTCTTCCAGCAACTCCTGACTCCAGCAGGAAAGAGAGTCCGGATAGGAGTGACCTTGGCAAAATCACGATTAGCAAATTCAGTACATTCTATCAGAATCCTGGGGTTCTTCCTATGGGAGACTGTGGGCAGGTCGCTTAGCTTCTCTGAGCCTCAGTTTCCTTACTTGCAAAAAGGGAATAACAGTACTTACCTCTCAGGATTGTGGTGACAGTTAGCCGTATATTAAAAACTAATATTTTAAAAGTGTTGCCTCTACTTCTGGCACAGTATAAGCACCTTCCGTGTATAACGCCATCAGTAGTCCACATATATAATGTCATCAACATCCTACATGTACAACGTCCTAAGCGCCCTGCATGTATAACGTCTTCTAGTTCTCACCTCAGTCTTTCTCCTGGTCATTAAATAGGATGCGGTCATCCCATCCCCTGGGGTGAGTTTTGCAATCCTCCTCCACCTGAGTCACAGTCCAAGATTTGGGTTTAAAAAGAGGCTTCATTAGTAACTGGTGAATTCTGTGGGAGCGCCCCCAGCAGCGGTTCCGCCCCACCGGGGAGTAATTCTAGGAAGGTAATGTGAGCTGGGGGAGGCTGGAGACCCAACTTCACATTTATTTACTGTGACAGCTAAATTGGTGAGCACGGGGGGCCATCAGATGAAAGGCATTTCAGAGTAAATACTAAATACAATATTTAAACATACAGGTTGTGACAAATGGGAGGAGGTGACAGGAGCAGACACGGGCAGCGCTCCCCTCCCTGGCTCAGGACCCAGTCCTCACCTGTCACCTTCCTGAGCACTTCCTGTTTGAGTAGAGGAAAGAGCACAGGATGCGGTACGGACCACATGACCCTAGGCAAGCAATTGACCTCTCCTGGCCTCGGCGTCCTCATCGGTAAAATGTGTGTGTGTTATTTGAATCAGATGATGGTGGAAGTGATGGAGAGACCACTAGTCTTGGAGTCAGATAGACCTGAGGTCAAATCCCAGCCCAGTCACTTCCTGGCTGGGTGAACTTGGACTAGTCCCTTATCAGCTTCCTAAACTATGGGGATAATAACCTCAGAGAGTCCATGAGATAATCAGTGTGCAAGGGCTTTTAGACTTCAAAGTACATTGCAAATGTGAGCAGCTGTGATCACAAAGTCGTTCAGTCCTCTCTCAGTTCTGACGTCCACTGTGTAAATTCAAGTCAGCAGACATTTATGAAGCACTGACTCTGTGCCAGGCTCCAGACGAAGCACAGGGAACAGTAAACCATGAGGAGCCCCACCTACAGGGCGAGAAGAGAGCTAGCATTTGCAGTGTAGCAGGACAGGTGCTACACAGTGGGGAGCACAGGTGCTAGAGAAGCAAGGAGGA